CCAAGAAAATAGGAGTCACTGGTTCAGAGAGCGACTTCCCTGAGCATCTAGAAATGATGCTCAGCCGTCTACGGGGCGTGGAATGGCCAGGACCACAGGGATGGCCACATTCCTCTGCGCTCACTGCTCTGGTGGGGCAAGTGGGCTGGCTACGTGGTTCTTGAACCGGTTCTGTTCAGAGACAGTTCCTTGTTTCTTAGGAGTCAAAGGACAGCGGACTCCCCCTCGCTTCTCCCTCTAGCCCAGCATTTTTAAGACTTTCAAATGCCATGTCGATATCCATTCAGTTCACAAATGCCCTCAGGCAGAGATCAACAAGTTGCACCAATCAAGAGACCTTGAAATCTTTGGTGCAAACCTTTTGGCATTTGCTGGGACTTGATGAACATCACATCTGAAAACTGCCTCCATTCCAAGCTGATGTAATACACTGTGTTTGCTTTCTTCGTGTAACTGATGGACAAAGGGCGATCCAGAGTCTACAGCGGGGCAGAAACTGCGTCTACAAACACTGAGAATACCAAGAAGCCACGTTTTGCAGAGATTGGGCTGTCCTGGAGCCAGAAGGAGTAGAAAACACTCGGGTGACAGAGTCAGGATTCAAAGTATGAGTCCAAAGCAATAAACTGACATTTAATATGGAAAAATGTTACTTCTATTTCTTTTCAAGTTCCCAGGTTGGACAGCCTGCGTGTACCTGGAGGCCATCTCTCTTCTGTGTGCCCCAAAAGCAAACCTTAACAATAGAAATCCTCCTTTATAAACGGTGGGTGGTGGGGGCCAGGGAGGGCAGCCAAATGTTTCCCAAAGCCTCTGGGGGGAAGAATAACCCAGAAGACTTTGGAATTTCTTCTAGGTGGCCCTGCCAGCCCGCCAGAGGGGAGGACAGAGGACTGTCTGCCATCGGTCAGACTGCTGCAGTGTAACCGCCTCAGAGATGAAGATGCACAGATCTTCCAGAACCCGGCCCACCTTGCTTCTCCATGGCCCTGCATTCTGTGAAATAGTACCCGCACCTTAGGGCCACCACAATCGAACGGATGTTCCCAATCAGAAATCTGAGCAAAGAGAAACCCTCACACAGGGGTGGTATATCCACGCCCCTGTGCCTAAGTGCCATCTTATATGGTGAAGGGGTGGGAGGTGAGGCTGGCAGATGTGATTAAATCAAAGATCTCGAGATGGGGGATTATCCAGGTGGGCCCAGATGCATATGTATCTACCTAAGAGAGAAGAGGAGATCTGACACAGACACAGTAAGTGGTGGCATGAAGACGAAGCAGCCCCACACCAGGGTGACATAAAGCCCCACGTCAGGGAAAGCCCAGAGCCACAAAAAGCGAGAGGAGAAACAACAGATCTTTTCTGAGGGCCTTCAGAGGGAGCACAGCCCTGATTTTGGCCCCGTGGTAATGATTTCAGACTTCTGAGTTCCAGAATAAGAGATAATAAATTCCCATTGTCTGAAGCCACCAGGTTAGTAGGCATCTGGTAGTTGCCACAGAAAACGAATACAGGGTCAATATCATTCCCCCTGCATCCCTACCTCAGCCAGCACTCACAGGAGGGCCCCAGGATGTGTAGGGACTGGGAAGGGTGCAGAAGACTCAGAAGGTCCCAGTGAAGGCGGTGGACAGGGTACAGCTGACAGTGCCATGGAAACACTGGGCCACGTGGTAGGAAGGAGCCAAGCTGAGAGCACTGTTCCCCAGAGGAGGGCAGGTGACCATTGCACTCAGCCCTGAAGGGGGAGGCTGAATTCCATCAGGTCAAAGTGGGAAGCACGCCAAAGGCACAAAATGAAGAAGGAACTGGTACCAGAGTCCAAGGTGCGCAGGGGACCAGCGAGCAGTCAGGGACGGGCTGGGGGAGGAGACTGCAAAGGCAGGTTGGGCAGAGCACCATGACATCTACAAGGCAGGCCCACGAGCCCTGCGCTGCGGAAAGGTGAGTCCTTGCTGTGCCATAGGACAGCCCTGGGCACAATGCCCACAATGACACTACGTGCAGGCCAGTCAAGAACGGGGAGCTAGAAATCGTGTTGGAAATGAGTCCCAAAGCTCAACACTGGTCTGGATGCTAAGGAACAGTGACTAAGGGCTGGGCCTGCTGGAATCCCAGCCCCAGAGCCTGGGCAGGAACCACACACATGCTCGGGGCTAAGTGGGGAGAGAAGGCAAAGATGGGGGCAAGAGAAGGACAGGAAGAGGCCAGAGGAGACAGAGACAGAGAAGGAAGGAGTCAGGGGAGAGGGCAGCAGGCTCCTTGCACCCACCCCTGTCCCGCTCTGCCAGCAAGTTTCGGTAGGCCATACCCTTGCTCAGGCCCGTGCTTCCTGCTGCCACTGTTCATGGGCAAGGAGCCTCTATCATTGCCCCTGGGGGCACCACCAGGCCTACAGCCACGTGAACCCTGAGCCCAGTAATTAGAGCTGGAAGACTCACGGGCGAGGGCAGGTCGTTAGGATAAACTTAGCAAAGGTCAGATGCTTCTCTGAACTCAGCCTCTTCAGGGTTTGCAGAGGGGAGCTGAAAGGGTGACCTCGCTTCACCTGCCAACATGCTCTTGACATAGGACCCAGGGCTGCAACCACCTCCCCATGCCATCACTGAGAAGTCAGAGCTGAAAGACTCGTGAGCATGCAGGCAGCCCAATGTGGAGGACTGAGTGTCTTACAGGAGTTGGGTGATGTGGGCAGAAGACCCAGGTTCAACTCTCCTGCCCACAGCTGTGCACCCTTGGGCAATTCCCTAGCTTCTCTGGGTCTCATTAGTCTTTTTGGAAAATAGGGAACACAGTCTGACCTTGCCCACCTCCCAAAATTGTCACATCTAAGGACTCCAGGGAAAGGGCTCTGCTTGCTACATGGCATGAGGGGCCTTAATGAGCATGACTCGGGGTGCCTCCCTAAGGCTGCCCTAACTTGCTAACAGAGGGGAAACGGCGAGTGGGCATGTGCTGGCAGTGGGGTGTGTGGGGGGGTGTCCCACAACCTCGCCTTGTACACAGCAGTCCCCTGTGACCTGCCGCTGCTCAGCCTTGCTGCAGAAAAGCGAAGGTTTTGCAGGCGAGAACCTGGCGGGCCTCCCCGGCACTGGCAAGGCCCAGGGCAAGAGCACACGCAGAGGCCATTTCCCATATGTCTCATATTTAAAAGTCATAAATCAAGCTAACAAACCGTTAAATGAAATATGCTCCATCCTCCTACCTTGTTAAGTACCTCTTCCAAACCACCTGGAAAGCCAGGAGGGGATTGAGAATTCCAGGACTTCTCAACGTCCTGCACCCAGACGTGGCTGCCCGGGGAAAGCCCGCCTGGCGATAGCCTGCCTGGCGATGATCTGACCTGCGAGCATCTCCCCCCACCCCGGCTCCACTCGAGTGCGTGTTAGCACACCCAGCCTCACGTCTGAGTCTGCCCATGCCCCCACAGAGAGCCAGTCCTCTGGCTCAGCGGTGCACACACGGATGACATGGGCTGTCTTTAGGAAGATGGCCCTGGGAAGAACCTGGAAGAGTTTTGTGCTGGTTTGAACTCTAGAGCGGGCTAGAAGGTGGGGTGTGGGAGCATCCCTTGTCCTGTAGATGTCCCCCGTCCAGTGCCATGGGAGGAGGGCCACTGCCCCGGCAGGTCATAGGGGAGTCTTGAGCAGAGTGGCTCCCAGAACAGGGGTCCCTTTTGCCTGGTCCCAAGGGTGGTTCCAGCTGGGTGACTTGGGCATGTTCTGGCCCCTTTCCAGCCTCAATCTTCTCACCAATAAAGTGGGATGAAGGGTCCCCTGCTTACGTCTCAGAGCTGTTTTGAGGTTCCAAAGAGAAAACCGTCTGGGATGGGGAGGGGGCAAAATACCATTTGGGCTTTTTTTAATAACCAAAGAGTCAACAGTGTGTGTCAGGAAAAGACCAGGCTCCCAGAGCTCCTGGGCACTGACGTGAGTGGCACGCCCCATCCCCAGGTCACCCAAAACAAGAAATGCTGACTCATAAAAGAAGTGTCGCAACATCCAGCAGAGGCCTGATTTCTTCCCCTGATTTTTATAAAAAACATCTTTCAAGTCCAGCAGACAGCATATGGCATAATGGTTACATCGCGGAACTCCCACATAGTTGACCATGGTTCGAATCCCGAACCCAGCAGCTTAAAACTCACACCAGGTGTGTGTGTGTGTGTGTGTGTGTGTGTTTGTGTGTGTGTCCAAAATCCTGAGAGGAGAATGGAGGAGAAGGGATTGTGATGTGGCTATCCCTCTTGGGGGGTGATTTCTCGCTTTCTGTCTCTCTGTCTCTCTTTGTCTCTCTGGCAAGCTCACGCGCCCTATAGCGAAAACCTCTCACAAATAAATGAAAAATCTTTCAACAAAGAATATTTTGGGCATCCCTGCCATGCTAATGCCCTTGCTACAGAGACAACAGTACAATGACGTGTCTGTCTTGTCCCCACGCCATCCCCAATGGAAGAGCACAGTGGCCTCCTTTGCAAACGCCCCCAAACTGACATCACTGGCCAGAATCGAGTCCCAGTGGCCACAGGGTGTCCAGTTTAGAATTAAGTGACAACCCTACCAGCCAGCACCCTCAGCTCCAAGGAGTATGGTGACCAGGGGCACCTCACTTATTCCTTGTGACACAAATTAGGTGGGAGAAAGATGGTCGGGCAGGGAGGGAGGGGGGCCGGGGGAAAGTCCCTTCCTACCAGCACCAGCTGAGTGGCCTTCAGCCAGGCCCACACCCCTCCTGTTCAGACACCCCATGTGGCCGCGGAGGGGCTGTGTGAGTGACAGTCAGAGACTCCCCTCTCTCTGCTGCCTTCCCTGGGCCTGCTGGCTGGTTCTCTCCACAGGCCCAGCGGCAGAGCAAGAGGCCGAGAGCACAGACCTCTGCCTGATTTATTCAGGGCTGCTTCTCAGAAGCGCAGAGGTCACCGGGCTGTTGCGGGGGAAGTCCCCCCACCGAAACCCCGAGCGCTGCCCGCTGTGGAGACGCCGACAGTGTAGACTCACCAGGCACCATCCCTGTCAGCGTCGGCGCTGAGTAGCTGCCCTGTCCGGCGGGGGGGACGTGCGGAGGGTACCCGGGGAGGGTCGTGCTCGCCAAGTCGCGGCCTGAGGAATCAAAGCAACAAATCACAGGGTGAGCATCTCCGCGGCCAGCCGCTCATGTCCACGGCTCCCCAGACACTCTGCACATTTGTCACATCTGGACACTCAATGCAGTGTGCCCCAGCTCTCCCCATTGCTCATGCATGCACACACACACACACACACACACACACACACATACATGCACACGCACACACATACACACAAAACCACCCTGCCTCTAAGAAGTGAGTCAGGGCTCTGGCCCATCCCTGAGAAATGGGACCCCTCGGGCAGATGGGCCAACAGAGGCCCCAGGACACCCTGCCCCGGGCCACTCCCTGTGCTCTCTGCTCCCCGGTATGTCTGGGAGCCCTCTAACCATGGCTTCTGCTCAGCCCTCTGCGCAAACCCCCACCCCCTGCAGCCGCACACAGCCCAACACTAAGCCCGTACAGAGACCAGCTCCCACGGCCCCCTCCTCCTCGTCAGGCCCCACAGTGTGCAGAGGGTGTCCTGGCCTCAGACTCTCCAGCCCATATCTGGACCCACAGGGAGTTCTTCCTTCGGCCTACAGGTGCTTCTTCATTCAGCAAAGACTCAGGAAGCACCTGCTGGTATCAAACACGGTCTGGGGCTGGGACATGGAGGTAAGGCCTTGGCCCTTAAGGAGTGGGCACTCCAGCGGGTGAGTGTCCAGCATTTCTGCAAGGCAGAGATGGTACCACGTTCATCACCCAGGAAAGTGAGAAGTTTTCCCTGAAGGAAAGGATGCCCCCTAGAAAATGGGCAGGAAATGGCGAGCCTGGGGACTAGGGAGGAAAGGAGGAACCTCGACCTCTTCCGAGTATGGGCACTGATGACTGGGGAGGCCAGAAGAGGTCTGGGCGTGGGTGTGCAGCTGCTGACCACACAGAGCCAGGAGAGGCCCAGGAGTACCCAGAACCTCCCTGGGGCTCAGTAGGGCCGGGCAGGCAGCACAAAGGTAAACGACTCCAATCTCCAGGTGGCCACTAGCAGGTGGCCAAAGGAGGACCACCTCTGAGCAATGCCCCCCAAAGATTTCAAGCCAGACTGTGGAATGAGCCTGCGAGCACCCCGAGTGCACCAACAGCCCTTCTAGCACCTGTCACTCCAAGACTGTCCAACAGCACCCGGGGGCTACCTCATTTCACAGGATTCTGCTCACCTTCTGGAACCATAAAGAATACCAGGCAGGGTCAGATAGGAAGTACCCTCTCTGCTCCCCATCGCCCTGGCTTTGGACTGGGCATCCTGGCTCATGATAGGCATGGCCCGTGTCCTACATAAGGCATCGTTCCAGGGAAGCAAAGGCCCCAGGATTTACCCGAGAGCCCTCAGTCCCCACATTACTGCCGCCATCAGAGCTAGTGGGACTTCCTGGGAGAGCTGGGGTCAAACAGAAAAGAGAAGTGGGCAAACCTGACTCCAGAAATGAGGTGAGCTAAGGGGGTCTGCCCTCACCAGCTCTCTGGTGCCTCTTCACTCATCTTCTTCCACCCCGACACCTACACCCTGTACGCAACCCCTCTCTGCTGAGCGTAAGCCCCAGAGAGCAGGTACTGTAACCCAAGGTGGGAATGGCAGAGGCCCACGGATATTTGCTGAGTGAAAAAAGTGGCCCTGCAAGGAAAGCTGCGACTCTCTGGAGTTCATAATAGACCCCTTCAAGAATCAATGCCAAGGGCCCAGCAGGTGGCGTGTTGGTGAAGGTGCTAGACTCCCACATGGCAGGCCATGATTTGAGCACCAGACCTTGTGGCATGCTTTCTCACTTTCTCTCTCTTTTTCTGTCTCTCTCTGGTCAAATTAAAAATACTAAAATAAGGGACCAGCAGTTAGCATAATGGCTATGTCTCTGGACTCCATGTAGTTGACCGCGGTTTGCTTCCCGGACCCGGTGACTTAAAACTCACACCGGGCACGTGTGCATGCATGCCCAAGGTCCCGAGAGAATGGAGGAGAAGGGATTGCGGCGTGGCCATCCCCCCTGGAGTATGATTTCTCACTTTCTGTCTCTCTGTCTCTGTCTGTCTGGCGAGCGCACGCGTCCTGTGGCAAAAACCTCTCAAAAAAAAAAAAAAAACTGGAAAATATTTGTGAGCATTCTTATTTTGTGACAGAATGGTTATTCACATAAGTTCAATAATACAGTAGTATCTGTTGTCTTGCATCAGAAATTGAATTTTTATGGGACTTTGTGCAAATAACAGACCAAATAGAGATCAACCTGATTTTTTTGCAGGTAAGTTAGTTTATACCTCTCTTTAGTGAAAAGGGGGAATAGAGAGAGAAAAAAAAGTTTCGGAAGAAAATTACACTGCATTTGTCACTAGATTCTAGCTGTGTCCATATTCTTAGTTTAAGATTTTTTTAAATCAATGAGATGTGAAAAAATATTTAATATGGAAAGGAAGGAGGGGAAAGGGAAAGGAAAAAAAAAACAGGTAAAAGCATGCTTAATTGACAAAAAAAAGAAGCTATTTGCTGCTGATGATGTATATAATATCTTTGTCTTGACTCACATGCATGGTATTTGTGCTAGAAAAGAAATGTTAAACACTGTAAAGACATGTGATTAAATGGAAAGAAAGAAAAGAAAGGAAAAAACCTTTAAAAAAGAAAGAATCAATGCGAGAAAGGCTCTGGGAGCACTTTCTGACCAACCTCTGTTGCCACTTAGCAGATGGGAAAGCTGAGACCTGAGTGGGGAGCAACTGGCTCAGGCCCCACAGGGAGCAGGTGGTAGGGCAGGTGCTTCAGCCGAAAATCCCTAACCTCAGCCAGGACCCCAGCCCATCATGGTGGGGTGGAGGGAACACTCCCACCAACGTGCTGCCTTCCCCACAGTTGTTCCAGACATGCGGTGTGTGTGGTGACCTGAGGGCTGCCGAGAGGCACCTGAGGAAGCCGAGTGAGCACAGATGTCAGGCTACTCAGTACGGGATTGAAACGCCAGTCACCAGCCAAGAGACAGGTAGAGAAGACAGCCAGAGGCTGTGATGTTCTCATGGGCTGGCTTCCCCAACCAACCACGGAGCACCTCTCACTCCAGCCCCACTCCCAGGCTCACACCCCTGATTCTGAGAACAACAAACTGCAAATACTTATGTAGAAATTACAAATCACCAGGTTCGAGTCTAAGTACCCTAGGCATTATTAACTCATTCAACCCTCAACAACTCTATGTGACACCATCCCCCACTTTACAGGGAAATGAGAAAGAGAAAGGTCAAGTAATTTGTCCGAGGCTGCACAGAAAGAGCCAGGATTTGATTCCAATCAACCCAATGTCAACGTCCATGTGTTTAGTCGGTGCACTCCACCACCTTGCTTGTGGACTTGTCTGTGCCCCGTGCGTGAGTCCAGAGTCTCCACGCATCTCTCAGCTCAGACATGGCCACCATTGCTTGTTGGCTCCATTGTGCAGAAGGAAATTCACCTGCAGTTTTTAGGGGCGTGTGTGCTGGGATGAATACCAGGACCACATAAAGGGGGATGCCAAACCTGTCCTTTGAAAGATGGAGGGCATTACTTGGAAGGAGTCTGCATAGTACAGGTGCCACCTCCTACCTGGTTTCCTGAGCTAGAGAAGAGAAGAGAGGCATGTGCCCAGGGATACTCAGCTGCTCTGAGTCAAGGCAGGGGCTAGACTCTAGCTTTCCTGCCTCCTAAGATCAGAGTCTTCCTTCAATACGGGGTGGTTTTTGTGATCATGCCTGAACCCCAACAGTTTCTGCCACTGTTATACATGCTTTAAAACCTTGATTCTTAAAGGAAAAGTTCAGTGTCTTACTGACGCACTCAACTCAAGAAGTCAAGTAAACAGGTAATAAAATGAACCTAGGGAAGGGAAGAGAAAGGAATTGATAAACAAACAAACAAACAAACAAAAAAGCTGAAAATGAGTTAAGAAATAAAAAACAAATCCAAAAAAAGTAACCAAGAATTGTTACTTGAAAAGGCCAGGCAAGCTTAGCAACATAATGCTCTGCGATGCTCAAGTCAAATGGGAAGGTTTTGGTTCCTGTCCTGAGGTCTCCCTGTACACAGACACACGCATGCATGTCTGTGGTCCTGGCTGGCTGTGGCTGTGAAGAGGATTGTGGCGTGAAGACCCCATTCGAGTGTCCTTCTTTCTCTCTCTCAGAAAGAAAGAATGTTTTTTAAAGTGAAAAAATGACCCACAGAATGGGAAAAAGAATACTTGTAGGGACCAGCAGTTAGCATAATGGCTATGTCGCTGGACTCCCACGTAGTCGACCGCAGTTCAAGTCCCGGACCCAGTGGCTTAAACTCATGCCGGGCGCATGTGCGTGTGTGCCCAAGATCCCGAGAGGAGAATGGAGGAGAAGGGATTGCAGCGTGGCCATCCCCCCTAGGGGGGTGATTTCTCGATTTCTATCTCTCTGTCTCTCTCTGTCTGTCTGGCGAGTGCATGTGCCCTATAGCAAAAACCTCTCCAAAAAAAAAAGAATATTTGTAAATCACATATGTGATAAAGGACTTGTGTGCCTAGAATATATAAAGAACTCTTACAGTTCAATAATAAAAAGACAGCCCAATTTAAGGATGGTTAGCATTCGATGGATCTAATAAAAAAGACAGATTATAACAATCATTGGCAAAGCTGAAGAAAATGGGAACCTTCTTCATACCCTGCTGGTAGAAATAGAAAATGGTGCAGCCACTTTGGAAAAGTCTGGCAATGCCACAAAAGGTTAAATGTAGAGTTATCGTGTGAGTCAGCAAGTCCACTCCTAGGTGTGTATCTGAGAGAAAGGAAAACGGATGACCATACAAAAACTTGTATGCAAATGTTCATAGTAGCATCATTCATAATAGCTAAAAAGCAGAAACTCAAACATCCATCAACTGATGCATGGATAAAGAAAATGCAGTACATGGGAACCAGCAGTTAGCGTACCAGCTATGTCGCTGGACTCCCACATGGTCAATCGCGGTTCGCGTCCCGGACCCGATGACTTAAAACTCACGCCGGG